AAGAAAATGGCTGCTTATTAATTAATTGTTAATCAATCTATAAGATAAATCAACTTCAGATTAATTAATCAATAACTTGCATCCTTAATTTATACAGGAATGAAATTAATTTATATCTACTCATATTTATGTAATGAAGCGTTTTAATGATTTGGCCGATTAATCGAAAAAATAATCGACAGATTAATCGATTATTAAAATAATCGTTAGTTGCAGCCCTAGTGACTGTTTGTTCACACGCAAAAAAAGACTAAGCCTAAAAATCAATGATTAGGGCCCTGATTATCCCTATTGATCAGAGGGCTGATTCATACTCGCAATAACAGCATTTTATATGACAGACAGTTTTTCTTCACAAAAATGACTCATTTACTCCTCCCTCAAACCAACAATAGGTGATAATCAGTTCACCAATGATCAGTGTTGATTGTCATTGTTAAATCTGTTTGTCCAACATGTGGAGGCGGAGCTTATAAGGCTGAGTTCACCTGAAACTCAGACTGAAGAAGTCTCTTGGAGGAGAGAAGAAACGTTTCACTAAAGAAGAACCATCCAGAGGACCTACTTATTTTTATAAAATTGTTTTTTTTTTTTAGTGATACTCACTTTTTGCACATGGTGCAGCTCTTCTTGGGGGCAGGTTTGTGCGAGAAGGCGGAGAGACAAGTGGTGGAGCAGAACAGATGTGAGGAGCCTTTACGCTGGTAGGCTGTTTGGCCTTTCTTCAGAGGTTTTTTACAGTTAGCACACGTCACCTAAAAATAAGCAAATTATTTTACTGCATCTTTCTAAACAATGACAAATAAATGCACTCARTTCTAACTGGTAATAAACCTCGTCTACACAACCTCTACAGGCACAATAAAAGAGTGAAAGATAWCTGGCACCAACAACAAATATACAGTCAGTAAGACTGGCTGCACATTTCTGATCAGCTGTAGCTTGGTTGGACTGCTCATACATTAATTCAAGCATGTTTATAGCTTCTTGTGTAAATGTAACCCTTTCTGTTGCATCTACAAAGGCCCTCCCTGATCACGGTGGATTACCTTCACTGTTCTGGGTTGTGATTGGGAGCCTGGAGAGGAAGTAGTAGAGGAAGACTGGCCTGCAGGTTTGGGCAGCAAGGTGGCAGGTGACGGAGAGTCCACCCCTGTCTGCTTTTGGTTTCGGGGAACTGAAGCGGACTGAGAGATCCATGAATCTGCAAGAAGATAAAGAAAGGAGTTTCACAAACCCTGCAGCAATGCTCTAAAACATGTTCAAGTTCTCCATGAGAAGTGGAAAGAAACAAAAAGTTCACACTGTTGGTCAAATCACGGCTTCATTTGCTTTTTTATTAGTATTTTATTTTACTGTATATAGATGGTTCTGTTTTATGAAATTCAATTGAAATTAAATTAAAAATTWAATTAAATCCTGTATTAAATATAAAATACTCAATGAGAAAGCATCCTGATTTTAATAAAAGATCAATAAAAAATAAAACTTTCCACAATCCCTAAAATCGCAGACTAGATAGACGTTTAAAGGTCACAATAGTTGCTTTTTAATTAAAAACTGTTTATTTTTGATTATTTTTTTATTTTTTATAAAATTGGTGGGTAAAATGGTCTGTCTGATGCAACAAAGCTGCAGATTAGAGCTGGGCAKGTTGCCAGCTCGTATCAAAACTTTTTTCATTTTTGCTATATGAATTTKCTGAAAACCGAAAAACTTGTTTAAATAGCCGGAACATGTGAAGAACGTTACGCAATGCCCGCCAATAAACGCTGTTTCCTGCAGCACTGCTGAAGGTGCATACAGGACAAGCTTGTGGGAGCAGCCTTCTCAATAACTGAGGGCGGGAAGCCATTTTATCGCTTCCATTGGATGACAATGTGACGTGAGCCCAGAATGTGTGACTGATGGGAAAACGCAACACAGACAGAAGTACAGTAAGAAAAAAAAGTCAATAAATCATTTCTGTGTTGCAGAAAGACAATAACTTCAGCTGACCACAGTTTGCTGATCAATAAGCAGTTTGTACATTTTAACATAAGCCTGAGTTGTGATGAAAAAAAATAAATAAATAAAAATACTGCCCAATAATACTGTGAAACCGATAATTGTTAAAAATACTGTGACAATACATTTTGGTCGTAACCTCCAGAACTAATGCAGATAGAACCCAAAAAAACACGTGTTCTCAAAGTGTGTGAACAGCACCACCTGGAGGATGTGTGAGGGTAAGACAGGAGCATATAATCATCTTGGGCGACGTTCACACACTGCAGTCAAGTGTCTCAAATCAGTTTTTCTGTTATTCATATGTGACTAGGCCTGTCAGGATAACAAATTTTGCTGGGCGATTAATTGTCTCACAAATCATTGCAATAAGCAATAATATTGCCTGGTGAACATTTTACAACTAATAATTATAAAAGCGTAAAATGTAAGTGTAATAAATCAATAAACTTTAGTTTTTAAAGAATGTTTAACAAAGCGGACTCTCAGTCTCTAACAAAAAATGCACTTGAATAAAAAAACCTAAAGAACAACAAAATATAAATTAAACACCACAACACAGTTTTTTATTGCTACAAGCTCTCAAGCTAACGCTGAGCTCCTGTGCAGCGGAGCACAGAGGGAGAGAGAGGAAGTAAACCAACAAGCAGGAAAATGAAACTTATCATCCTCATTTTTTTTACCGACCTCAAAAAATTGTATCGTGCAATTAATTGATTTATTGACTATCGCGACAGGCCTGTATGTGACTCATAACATGACAAATCAATTCAATTCAATTTATTTATATAGCGCCAAGTCACAACACGTTGTCTCAGGGCACTGTACATGAAAAAAAAAAACAATCTAAAGAAGAAACCAGCAGATTGTGATGAATCACTTCATCACAGTCTCCCATCCTGAGAAAACAGTGGAGGAAAGACTCCCTGCTAATTAGGGCTGTGTATTGGCAAGAATTTGGCGATACGATACATATCATGACAGAGGGGTCACGATACGATATATCCCGATATATTGCGATACTGTAAGCAAGGTGATATTTTGCGATATATTGCGATTTTTTTGTCCAAAAATTCTATTAAATAAAAACCTCTTACTGGG